TGTGTGTGTGTGTGTGTGAGAAAGAGAGAGAGAGAGAGAGATTTACAGTAAATGGTCACCTTCAGGAAGCAGCACAAATTGGATTGTGGTCAGCTGAAAAAAGCTACCAGTAAGATTACACAGTGCCACCTCAATGTTTAATCACCTTTGACATGTACAGAAATATTTCAGGATTGCTCTTAAAAAATAAACATGTAAATAAAAGTATTGTGGTTATGCAAAATATGTAACAACAACAACAACAAACAGGTTTTCCAAAACCAAAAATCTTTCAGCAGTCTACAACACATGCAGTCAGCTGTTTATTTGCTGATGATCTGATAATGTTCGACAAACTTCCTTAGAGGAACTTGCATTCATTCAAAAGTGCTGTGAGTCTAATTGTGGGTGTCAGATTCAGCAGAGGTGTGCAGTCTGGAAACTTAACCAGTATTTAAACAATGTGTCAAGGCTCAATGTTGAAATGAAAAAGGAAGAAGGATGAATAGCTTTCCTTTTAAGACTAAATGCCTCACAGGTCTGATTAAATTCCTTGAATGCATCATTGTATGGTAACACACCAGCCACATCAAAACTGAAATATTATGCAAGGAGTTTCTGGACCTTTAATGTTGGCTCAATAGCTTTGAGTTGGACTGTAAAATTACACCACACATCACATTAGTAATGTACATGCGTACAATCAGCATGCTCTGTACATTGTTAGAAACAGTATTAAACTAATAAACAAATTAATAAACTCTAGCCCTGTCTATAAGCATTTATAAGATAAAAAGATTACACAAAAAGTATTATACCATGTAGGATGATACAGTCAGCTGTGATAGCTCCTCATGTTTATAATTCATTATAAAAATCTCTGCCTAAAATTATAATTCATCATTTTGAGTTAGATAAGTCAAGTATGTGTCTTCCAGTGTTTCCACAGTGAAATTCTTTCATCTCAGCAGTGTTTCCCTGCAGATGGATAGTAACACAAAGCACAATTTTGGCACTAAAAAGACTATAACTTACTAAATAAATTATAAAGATACACACTGACATAGACTCCTGAAGGCTTGTATTAGCTTCTGCTGAACTTTGGAGTGTATTTTTCTGAGGAAAGACTACATCAGATCCCTATCACTCACAATGAAACTGCACCAGTGCAGAGTCTCAGCCATCCAGGTCATAGTAAGCTGAAAAAACTTAGAAAAAAATCAAATGGATTAGATTTTTAGGTTGAAGATGTCTCACCTCTCATCCAAGAGGCTTCATCAGTTCTGCCCGACTGGCATTTAGTCAGAGATATTTATCCCCATCGGTGGTGTTTCAGTCCTTTGATGCCCAACAATGTCCAACGCATTGGCCAGAGCCAAACTCCCACCCTCGAACCTTACCCCTGAGGAAAGGAGGGCTTTGGCTGCACTAGAGAAGGATGAAACCATTACAATGCTACCTTTCCTTGTGTATCCACCTCAAAGCTTTGTTTAGAGAAGGCAAATAGAAGTACTATTGTTGGTTTGAAACAACATACAATCTGACACCATCGTGTCCTGTATAGCAGTTAATTCACTAAATGCACAATTATACAGCCCAAACTATCTGCTATCATCCAGCACAGCACTACCGTGCAAAGTGAAGTAAACCTGTGTGGGTGTCATTGTGAACAGGGCTGCGCCGGTGTGACCCTTGTCCAACACCCTGTGTTCTGAGACATTCCATTCTCAGGCATGATCACAAACAATTCAGAAATTGTTCTTAACACATCTCGTACGACAGAACCCATTTATTCACAGCATGTACTTCATTTTAAAAGTGCGACCAGAATATTCTCTGTTTGAGTTTGTAAATGTCTGTGTGTGTATGCATGAACAACTGTTTTAAGACTAAATAACTGTGTGGGTTGAAGTGTTTTGTGCACACATACAATACAGTACCTGCATTTGTATTATCGACAGATGCCCAAAGAATTCAGAGTCATGGTCTTCAGTGGGGAAAACCTCACGTGGCTGTTACACCCAGGTGATGACATCTTCTGAGATCATACACAAAGCTGCACAGTCCTGACCTTTGACATCATAATGCTGTGTGTGTGTCCCTGTGTTTGAGCGATAAAATCCTGGCTTCACTTCAGACACGGTCTCCACATCTACGTCCATCTGATGAGAGGTTGGGGTAACCCCCCTCTGACTCTGGCCCTCTCATGCAATCCTCACTTTGAAGAAACACCTGCTCCCCCCTCACACAAACACACATGCACGGCCTTCCCTATTTAGCCAGTCTCAACAAACACACACATACACACACGCACAGCTCTCCACACTACTTACTGATAAGGGATACTGCTGCCAGATGACAAGTGTGAAGTGGCTGCACGTGCAAAGAGTTATAATTCTAGGAGTTAGAATGCAGGCAATAACAGGAAGTGACTGACAAAGCTCGTGTTATAATAAATTCCTGATGAAATAAAAAAAAATGTTTGTTTCAAAGAAACAGCTCTGTTTTCAATTGTTGTTTATATTAAAAGTTTTCAAAAATGTATGACAAAATCCTCCAGTTGGCATTAAACTATCACTTAATACTTAATTTTGTTAGAAAATGCGAGAGATGAGAGATGTGTATAAACTGAGTTACTTCCGCATATAAGCATTAGAACATATGTACACCTCATTGTTTGAGCTTTAGGTCACATCTTAGATAATTCACCATTCTAACATTGTAGATAACGAAGGAAAAGCATGCCATGGGCTCTTTAAAGGAATAGTTATGCTAAAATTTGCATCTAGTCCCCACAAAGAAGCCTGAGTCCCAACAATGTGAGTGTGTTAACAGGTACACACACACACACAAACACTTTTAAACTTTTATTGCAGACTCAAGGTCCAAATTCTGAACAATACAGTAAAAACCAACAATAAAGTAATAAAAACCACCACAAAAACTACAACCAGTACACTACTATCCCTTTAAGAGGCAACTATAGAACAATTATATCCATAAAGCAGCACTGATGATAGTAAAACATCAGCTGTGTAAACAGAGTGACTGATTTTTCATCAGCTGCACTCTTCTGGCTAATTATTCACCTCAGGTCTCCTTATTTTTGTCTGTAAACCCAATGAATCTTTTCTTTGTGATGATTACCATTTCCTTTTTAAATAACATAGGAGTAATCATGGGAAAATAAGAACTTTATTTGTGCTAATATCTTTTTTGTGTCATATTTTATTGAGAAAATATTGGTGATGACATTGCATAAACTACTCTGACTAAATAATAATGTAAAAGTGTAAATCCAATATTATGATAATGCTACAGAACCATTTCTGATGTGGATGTTATAGAAGATAAGCACTGCAACAGTCACTTGGTTTGAAGGCCTGTTCGTCTTCTTTTTACATATCACTGCTGAATGCAGAGAAAGCCCAAAACACAATCCTGTTTTGAGATGTCTGTCTGATTCACACATATTTTCTCTTTGTCAAGTGTAATCTAATGCTTGTGGCTTTACAGGCATTATGATTAATCATGTCCAAGATTTTAAGAGACAACTAGATAAATGTATAAGTGTGCAAACTTCCATCATTGCATAAGTTTAGGGCTGACATTTCATCTGAGATTTCTGGTTTGAGTTGTGAAATCTCAAAAATCTCTGAACTTTACCGCCACTATTAAAACCCATCCTTGAGAGTTTGAGGGCACACAAACCACATTCCAAGTGCTACTCAGTGTGCAACTCAGCATTTGAGATCATGCAGGTATATATTTGTAAGCACGGAATCTTGTTTTGAGAGCGCAACCGTGTCCGAGCATGCACTCATTTCTGAGCCTTTGCTTTCAGATTACTTCTTTGGGTTTTGTGTGAACGTCTGTCTGCACTAAAGGTTTTGTAACATTTGCGCCTTATTCAATAGGTAAATCAAATTTTGAGAGTGAGCAGGCACAGACTTGCATGGGCTGAAACAGATTTGAGACCAAGGAGGACAGAGTAAGCATAATAGATGATTTGAGTGAACACTAGGAGTCTTCTCTTGCTCTCAAATGTTATTCTGCTCAAATCCATGCCTGTGTGCTCTCAGATGCTGAGTTGAAAAACTGAACAGCGCTTTCAAAACTTCTGCTACTGACAGACTTTCACACAAAGCCCAGTGGAGGAATCTAAGAGCACAGACTCAGATACAAGCTCACGCATGGCCTGGATTATGCTCACAAATGATTCTGCTCTTACAAATCTGTGCCCATCCCCTCTCCAATGCTGAGCTGAAAACTGAGAAGAGCTCAAAATGTAATTTGTGCATTGTAAAATGTTTTGGTTGGGATTTACTTCTGTAGAATGTTTGCTAAAATGAAAACTGGTTAAGAGTCATCCTCTAGGAGCCATGAAGTTTCATGACAATCCATGGAATATTCAATATTGGTTGAGATTTTTCAGTTTGAACCAAAGATGATGGACTGACCGACCAGCGGATGTTACTGCGTCTAGAGCCACACAGCTAGCTTGGCTAAAAGAAAAGGGAACAACTCCAGATAACAGTAAAATATTTGGTGAGAAGCAGCAGTGAAAAGAATCTTTCTTTATCTTTTTAAATACTTGCTTAGGTCATGAGAACACATTTTGTTTACTCTCTCTCTCTCTCTCTCTCTCTCTCTCTCTGTGCAGCATTTAGACAGAAATACTCTGATTCAACCCTTACAGATGCACTGTTGATTACTTCAGTTCCACTTCACTTATTGCCTCTTTATCGTGGTCAGAAAAAGATATCTTGTCTTAGCTTCTCATATGCCACAAGGAAGCTCTATCCAGAACTCCTCAAAAATGTTTTTGATGGTAATTCTCTATGCTGTAACAACATTATGAGTGTGTGAAATAAATACCCTCCCTGCTTTTGTTATTGGAACATGGCTCAGCACAAACACGACACTAGAGTCTCTCAGCTGCAAAGTGTAAAGTGCACAAGGATGTACTTGTTCTTGGTGATTACATTGTACACAAAACACAACATTCTCTGAGGTTCACTGGTTCATCATGAGCAAGATTTAACGAGTCAACAATAAGGCTGGGTCAGCAGGGTGGTGTCATGAACAGGCAGGCTGGTGACATCGGACCAGTCGGTGCAGGAAGTCCTCTGGATCAGTGAGGCATCAAGTTTGTATGCAAATGAAATGAAAGACACCTTTTTGTTTTATTACCAGCCCTAGTTCAGGGTTTTCATCTAATTGAGACCCAATGACCACTATTCTGACTAAATAGTAGCCTGAGGACCACTGTTGTGTGGTGGGCACTATTTTAATCCTGAAAGTCACCTGGGTTTTTCTAAATTTTATGTATTTGCATGGATTTGATTATTCACAAACAAAGGGTATTGCATGGAAATGTGTTTAAACAAACAAACTGATTCCAACAGTGAAACTACATTATTGAATTCTTGGTCAGGAACCGCTTGCAATGCCTTCACAGACCAAGAGTGGGCCACGAACCACTGGTTGAAAATCCCTGCCCTAGGTCAGTGTATTTAATTTAAGAAATATATATCATTTGGTTCTCAAAGATGCCAAGATAGTATTAAATTCTCCAGTTCTGTCTTGTTCATTACTGGATGTAGGCAATGCATTATATTTGTATCTCAAACAAAACACCATGCTCCTTTTACAACTGATGCAAAATGCAGCTATACAAGCTTTAACCGCAGCTTTCCCCTTCAGGGAATATGAATATAAATGATCAATCAATTTTAGCTTTTTTGCTCGTAACTTACAAACAAATTCATAGTTTTGCCCCATATTACATTAGGGATCCCATGACCCCCTGAATACCCGAGGTCCTCGATATGAGGCTGTAGGTTTATTAACATATGTGACTGAAGGAGAGCGCAAAAGCAGTCAGGGGCAATATTTCTCAGATTAACCAGAAACATGCTGTATCTGCTTTTAAATTGCTTTTGAAAAAATACTTTGTATCCAGAGCCGCTTGTGACACATTATTTAAAAAGAACTCTGAACATTGAGCCTTGACACATTGTTTAAATACTGGTTAAGTTTCCAGACTGCACACCTCTGCTGAATCTGACACCCACAATTAGACTCACAGCACTTTTGAATGAATGCCAGTTCCTCTAAGGAAGTTTGTTGAACATTATCAGATCATCAGCAAATAAACAGCTGACTGCATGTGTTGTAGACTGCTGAAAGATTTTTGGTTTTGGAAAACCTGTTTGTTGTTGTTGTTGTTACATATTTTGCATAACCACAATACTTTTATTTACATGTTTATTTTTTAAGAGCAATCCTGAAATATTTCTGTACATGTCAAAGGTGATTAAACATTGAGGTGGCACTGTGTAATCTTACTGGTAGCTTTTTTCAGCTGACCACAATCCAATTTGTGCTGCTTCCTGAAGGTGACCATTTACTGTAAATCTCTCTCTCTCTCTCTCTTTCTCACACACACACACACACATTGTAGGGACTTCACATGCTTGGTGTATTTCCTTACATTCGTTTCCTGGAGACTTAGCCTGTCCCTAACCATAGCTACTACAGTACTTGTCTATACCTAACTGTAACCTCACCCCAGCCTTAAATGAGTTCTTATGCTAAAATCTGCATCTAGTCCCCACAGTGTAAGTTTATTAACAGGTACACACACAAACACACACGTACAAAGAGAATGATTATATCTATAAAACAGCACTGATGATAGTAAAAGGTACGCTGTATAAACAGAGTGGCTAATTTCCCATCAACTGCACTCTTCTGGCTAATTATTCACCTCAGGTCTCCTTATCTTTGTAAGCCTGATGAATCTTTTCTCTGTGATCATTATCATTTCCTCTTTAGGTAACATAGGAGTTTCCTTTTCTGCATGCTGAATGAATGATAGTTGATAATCAATAGAAATGAATAACACTGATTATCTTGTTACAGGGGCACCTGATAGTGTGTGTGTGTGGTGTAGCTGAGGCAACCAGTGAACATTCAGTGTAAGTGTTTCACTAAATGATAGACACATCTGTGCTCTTCCTGACAGTAGAACTGTGGAAGCAGATGGATTCACAGAAGATGCACAGTGAGCTGCAGAGTGACACAAGTGCCGACCAACTGCCTTGTGTGTACACAGTGTAAGGCAGGTGGTCATAATGTTATGGCTGATCAGTGTACACTTTTACTTGACTGTTGATTTTAATTTTGTTGCTTAAACTTGCAGCCCCTTGTGACCAGCATGATTAATTATTATTACTTCAGGTCTAAAAATGCAAAAAGGTTACTGTGATCAAAGGAGTAGAAACATTATGTTTAGTTCTGGTGTCAGCATGCTTTTCCTTTACCACAGGAATCTCTTACCCAGAACTGTGTTTTTAAACTTCACACATATTAATAAAACATGATGGTGCTACTGTCTTCCTCTACCTCCCTGTGGAACAACCTGGAAAAAATACAGTAAACCAAATATGTGCAAAGTGCAAATCAGCTTTTATTGACCATTTTGTGTTGGACTAGGTGGCATTTTGAACATAAATGCAGATTATGATGCCGTGCATGCAGTATAAAGGGCCGGCATATTCAAAGAATAAGCAACAAGACATATTATGTTTTGACATGACATGTTATTCTTTCTGTGTGTTGATATCTTGTTCAACAACACAATCGGATTTGGCAGGCGATCAAAAACCTTTCGCCCAGTCACGTTCACTCCGGTCACTGTTGTTTTCTTTGCTGCTCTTTCCAACAGATGATATACAGTAAATACACAGGTAAAGCAAAACGTTTAAATACTTATGTGAATGATAAATCAAAGATATATAATAACTGAATGATATACTCTGTATATATTATGTTTCGTCAAACAGTTCAGAACCTGTAACCATTCACAGATTTGTACAAACATGCAATTTAGAGGAAAAAGAAACATAAACCACAGTCCAGTGTAAATATTTAACATCTTCAGTTCCAACAAGCCACTTAAAATTCCCCTTATGTGACTTCAAAGGTGGCAAAAATGTTTCTCTGCTACTTCACGACATAGTCATATACGTTTTTCTTGAACCTGCTCTTTCTAATGCTTCACTGAAGCTACAGTACATTATTCTTACATAGAGCCAAGTACTTTGAATCCAAAGGCATCGTGCTCCATTTGATCCATTTGCGCATTATTTTATGAAGGTCAACATAGATTTGTCACCTCTTCTAAAAGACCCAGGGAATGGCCTGGTGAGTTGAGAAGATTAACTATTTTACATGAATATATAATTAATCAAATAATGGTTCAATAAACAGTAAAGTATCACAGTATAACTTGGTCTGTGGTATAAGCTGCCTAGCGGCTGTGACTGGACTCTGGCTCCACCTGAAGCCGGGCCTTGGAGGCCAGGGCTGCCTTCCGGGTCATTGTGGTGCAGCGGGTCAGGATCTCCTCTGCCTTTGGTCGGGGCGGCACCTTGGGAGCGACTGAAGCTGTCTCGCTGCCTCTGGAGCTGGCAGATCCAGAACTCCCAGAGCTACTGTTGGAGCCGCGACGGTCTGAGAGGATGAGACCAGGGCTGGTATCGGGCTGGTGTGAAGCTTCGGGCTGGCCTGCACAGCTCTGATGCTGCTCTTCCTCTTTTAAACTCGAAGATGACTCACTGCTTGAGGAGAAGCTGGAGAAGCTGGATCCGGTGCTGGTGCTGCTTATGCTGCGTGTGCGGCTGTCTGAGGGTGTGACATCCCTCTTCGTCTGTGACCAGATCTGAGAAAGGTCACCCAGGGATCGGACTTTGTGGAGAGGATCAGGCACTGTGGTCCCATCTCTGGGCTGACCTGTAGAATCTCCTTCTGGATTGGTTTCATCACCGGTGCTGAATGAACGAGATGCCAGGTTCACAGTGGAGTTATACAGCTTTCTCTGCATGTTGAAAAGGCCAGCTCGGGGGTTGTTGTATGGTTTCAGGTACATGGAGGGGAAGTAACCTGCCTTTCCATTGAATCTGAAGAGAAGGTTGCAAGAAAAACAGAATTTATTTCAACTTGTAAATTTTAACCTGGGAGTTTATTAGGCATTTAATTATGCTGCACCGAGGTTCTCAGGTTTTTGCAATGCAGACAGACAAGATCGGTACCTGACGAGCCACCAGCCGTCGTCTGACTGTCTCAGCACCTCCACCACAGAACCAATGGGCACAGACACCTCGTCAGCCTTCTTGGTCGAGTAACCCTTCACGGCACAGTACAGGTCGCCTAAAGGTCACACACAAGAGAAGTGGTCTAATTAGGACAAATGTACAAATTGTCCTTTAAAAAGCAGGGTGCACAGAGTGGATGCAGGCAAATCCAATGGCTAAAAAGCACTCTCTAGTGTTGGTTGCTTGCAGTAATAGGTGCATTTGGTATGATGCCAAAAATCTCACACATTTGGCAGGCTTACCAAAGTAATTACAGTTGGTAAGTGATAGTAGTCCTATTTGTGTCACAGCACATCCTCTATGTGAATGCGCTTTAGTGCATATTCAAATTGAATAGTGATAAGTAATTATCTCACCTGTCAGCTGAATTCCAGCATCATCATCCTCTCCTTCCCACAACTCCAGATAGGGAGCAGGAAACCAAGCAAGGCACTTATCCTCTTCCCCCACCAGCCACCAACCTGGAGAGCAAAAACAGAAGTGATTGTAAAGGTAGCTCAAAGTTCAGAGATTTTTATTTATCATCATGTTTTCTGTGAGCGATTTCATCCCAGCTATAGGTACTGACCTGCAGGGTCTTTGATCAGGACATCCAGCTTCTCATTCACAGCAACCTTAAATGGACGATTCTTTGTGTCCTTTGTCTCAAAAGGAGCCACGCAGCTGTAGGTCTGGGTGACAAACGGGTGGGTAATGCTGCCTGCATGCTGGCGAGTGACACCCTCTCCTCCTTCAACCGACCCGTCAGACTGCAGGATCATGATGCTACAGCACATAAAGAGAAGACAATCAGTTATCTAATAATCGACACCTCTTTGCTACTGAACTGAAGCTGGTATGGCTACATGGTGTTACCAGTTCTTGGTGAAGTCTGACTGCAGGTCATGGTCTTTGGGCATGAAGAAGTGAGTGACCGCTGAGCTCAGTGTCACCGTGTGGTCGCACTTGAGCAGCTCATCACAGTAGCTCTCCAGAAACTTCATGCGTTGGACAGATCGCTTGGATCCCTTCTGCTGGAGGCTGCTCCTCATGGCCCTTCCTGAAACGAGGAGGAGAAATGTTGGCAACACTTCAGATTACAGCCCCCAACAGACAAAGTGCAGTTAATTTAGTTTGGTCTTCCAAAGCAATCACAACATGCTATTGCCACATTTCTCTCTGTAATTATTAGTTAAATACCCCTTTGCTCCCTGTAGGCCTATAGCTGTAGGGTAAGTACAGTACAACATGTGCAGGCTGTATGTACTATTACATACTTAACAGCTGAAATAATCTTACCCTTAAATTTGGGGATCACTCTGTCATTTTTCCGGAAAGGGTTCAGATGAGGAAAGGTCTTTTTCAGCTGCCCCTGTTTCAAAAACAAAAAATAATGTTATAGGATATGTGATATCCAGCCAGGTTAAAGATCCAGCCTACATTTTATTTTTATTTTTATTTTCAAAAAATGCGATTTTGCTTTACACTTGATTGTGCCTTACATGAAATTCCTTGAAATCCTGGAAGGATCTGTAAATGATCACTTCAGCCTCATCAGACCACATCACAGACATCATGAACATCTGTGGGAGTTAACAACAGCAGTGAATCAAATGGAGACCAAAGGAGGTTTTATAACAGAATTATTACCAGACATAAAACACATGGTCTGAGGTCTTAGCTCACCTTGAGTCTTGGTGTGCTTCTGAGAACAGTTGCAATGATGCGGGCATTGATCACAAAGCGCTGCTGGCTGGCCATCGTGTGCTTCTCTGTGTTCCTACCTGCAGGTTCAGTAACTGCTTTGTTGTCCTTGAGTGTCCGGTCAACCTGTCTCCGCGGCTCTGACATGTAAAGGAGTCGGCGGTAAATATATGCTCACAAGGCGGAGCCACTTTGAATGCAGCAAAGGATGCAAACACCCAGAGCAACAGCCGCGCCTAAACAGGTGTAGCTGGATGGGATGGGCGTATACTGATAAAACACCTACCGGAACCTATTCAGAACAGTTTACAGATGTTGTGTAATTGTTTAATGCCCGTAAATATTTATAAAACGGATTCAAAATAAGGGTGGAGGAGCAAAGATAATCCCCGACGCTAAAACGGCCATTTACCGTAATGACTAGAAAATGCAGACGTTACAGTCCAAATCGCTGCATAAAAAGATTTTTACCAAATTATCCCC